GCCGGCCTTGAACCATGTTTGTAACCCTGGTTCTGCTGCAAATACACTCGATACGGATTCTGTTACGCAAGTAACTCCGAGCACAGCCCTCTCCATGGTTTGCAAAACGACTTTAAGCTTTCTCTCATGCATTCAAAAGTAAAAGACCGTACCTCGGATCCATAGGTCATTGCAGTACACACTGGTTGTAGTACACTTGTTTTGAGAGTTATTGGACTTCACAATCGAGTTCTATTCATTTGTTGACTATTTCGTCGAAGGTAAGGACTTGTCGATTGGGTTAATTTCTGTCATTCATGAAATAGGTACACTAAAAACACTGTGCGATGTAAATTGTTTATACGATGATAGCGCCCATATTAAAATCATAAAAATTTTCATTTCATTCACTTTTAAGGTTAATTGAACTACCAAATATTTCTAATAATCTTTTCGCATGGTTTCCCGTGGATGAAGATACGAACAATATTTGTTATATTAAATCTATGAACATCATATTTTCCTCCCATATTTGTAACAGAAATATTCGTCAATAACTAGTAGTTTCCTAACAACGCCCGTATACATGTGACATGAACAATCTTTTTCTGATGACCTTAACCTAACTGTTGGTAGACAGTATGTAGGTTAAACTAAGCATAGTGCTATGTTTCAAATCAAAGTACTCTAAAGACTAGAAGTCATGAAGTCTGTATGCAGGACATTTTTAATGACTGGTGATGCAGTTTAGAAGACAAACCAACTGTAGTTCTTTGTGAGGGAGTTATCGTTTTTATTTTGAAAACACAAGATATATTGCTTTTTTCCACTTTTGCTTATGTTCCACGCTTTTTACGTAGTGTCAAGTGGAAGGATAAAGTTTCATAGCTTCTAAAGGACATTAATGTGTACCGATTATCCACTTACTTGCAAAAGTTCTGTTGTAATTCTGTACTCACCAGGCACATTAGCTTTTTTAATATGCTTGAAAGCCATTCTAATCTCGTTCAGATTGAAGTCCAGGACTTGATCAGGATAATGTCTATCTCATCGCCAGCAATGTCGCTAGCACTATTGGTCTTCAAGTTAGACAGTAAACAATCACTTCTAATTTATTTATAGTTTTTAAGGAATTATTTAATACTCAAAGGTAATTAATTGATGAATAAAAATTCTTTGATATTTCGGGGTACGAGGCTTAGACTTTAATGTTTATTTCTAAAACATCAGTTGCATTTTATGTTAATTAGATTAGAAACGGATAAATTAAACTACGGATATTGACTTGTTTTATATATAAAAGTAGAAGAAATAAAAACGTTTTAAAATAGATAAAAACATTAAAGAACACAGCAGTGAGGCATTGTTTTGTGTATGCATACTTCAATTTATAAATAAATATAAACAATGAATAAATTTACAAGTAAAACCACCTCAGTACCAACTAGTGTCATTTAGTGAGCGTAAGATCATTAAGAACGTGTTTGCAAATCGAGCAAAATGATGTTGTTTTTCGGTACATTTTGTGACAAAACTAAACCAAATCAAATAAAACTAAAAACTACCATGTATATATTGGTTCTTCATTTTCAAATTGTATTGACTCTTTTGTTAAAAATAATAGTTTTTTATACTGTAAAAACGAACTTCCGTTGCCATTTTCTACAAAATTAACGATACTGGCTCGAGTTTCGGTACATTTTTTGGTATTCATTATTTGGTCAATTTTGTATAAACACGTCCATAAGCGTAATTTTGACATTTTTGATATACGTCAGTCTACTGCTGGATATAGGTCCCTTCTATTGTAGGCACGATTCACCGTAACAGCTGCGTTTGGCTGGTGAATTTTCGATCGTGGCACCAGCGGGACTAGCCGAGTTGGCTTTCTACGATCGTAAATGGTGATAAAAAACTATAAAAATTCATAAAATGAACTTTAAGTCACGTGATTTAATATTTCATTCCCATCAATTTTTGTGTTTTCTATTAGCGTCAACGATTGTAGAAAGTCAACTTTGCTATGCGCGCAGAGTTCCCGCACCTTTGACGCTGCTATCGGACTTCAGTCTTAGTATTTTAAAGAAGAATAAAAATATGAGATCAGAAGCTGCCCCACAGAAAGTGGACCTAGTCGACCTCGACAAAAAAAAGAGATTGACTTCATTAGGACGTCTAGACGGCAACAGTTCAGTGATTTCTCAGTAACCGCAAGGGTGAAAACTGGCAGCGATCACCGAATGGTTAGAGGCACATTTAACCCAAACGTTAAGGTCTCGTCTAATTAAGTCAACGCTCCGTCCCCCTCGTGCTCTAATCCAAAGTCCCGAAACCTTTCAGCTCGAGTTACAAAATCGCTTTCAGTGCTTAGAAGATTGCAATGCAGTGGACGATATGAATGACAAGCTCGTGGAATCTTATGACTGCTAGACGAGAAATGAAGCTGCAGTCTTCAATAGATTTGACAGCATACAGACAACTAAACAGACAGATCTCCAAATACATGCGCCGTTCAATACAGCTCGTATTAAAGAAGGGATCAAGCGGAACCAGGGCTCCAAAATCTTTGCCAGCGATCTGTCTGCCAGAAAGAGCCAACTGTCAAAGCTGAAGACCGAGTGCGGCGACATCGTTTCCGGGACACCCGAGAATTTGAGGGAGATTGAGATGTTTTATGGGCAGCTGTAAACATCTTCGTTGGAGCCACACGAAATTGTGAATATCGATCCAAGAGTAAGTCTTATCCGATATTATTCCAATGATATCCCGGACGTTAGTCTGAGCGAGATTAGCAGCATCTTAAAAACGGCAATGCTCCATGTGAGGGTTAAATTATAGCGGAGCTTCTGAAAGCGGGTGGAAAACCGGAAGTTAAAGTCCTTCATAAGCTGTTCAATTCCGTCTTCCATGGTAGCACTACTCCGGAAGCGTGGAGCTGAAGTGCGGTGGTCTTTTTCTTCAAGAAAGGTGACAACGCCCTCTTGAAGAACTACAGACCGATATCCCTTCTGATCCGCGTCTACGTGCTGAATCGTCTCGCACGCAGACTCGACGACTTCCAGCCTCCCGAACAAGCAAGTTTCCGACAAGGCTTCAGTACCATAGACCACATAGATACCCTGCGTCAGATTGTACAGACGAACAAAGAGTACAGTCTGCCACTTTGTCTTGCGTATGTGGACTATGAGAAAGCTTTTGATTACGTCGAAATTTAGGCGGTGCTACAGTCCCTTCAGCGGTGCCAGTTTTATAGTCGCTATATCGAAGTGCTGAAGTGTTTGTACTGTAGAACTATGATGTCTATACGAGTACAGAGTCAGAGTACGAAACCTATCCAACTGCAGAGAGGTGTAAGGCAGAGTGACGTTATATCCACGAAACTCTTCACCGCTGCATTGGAAGACGTTTTCAAGGTACTGGACTGGAAAGGATACGTTATTAACATCAATGGCGATCATATCACTCACCTTCGATTTGCCGACGATATAGTCCATATGGCAGAATTGCTGGAGGCTCAATAGTGTCTCCCAACGGATAGGTGTTAAGATGAACATGGACAAAACAAAGACAATGTTTAATGTCCATGTCACACCTATGCCGGTATTTGTTGGGAGCACTAAGCTCGAAGTTGTTGACTAGTACGTTTACCTGGGACAAATAGTCTGACTAGGTAAGTCCAACTTCAACCGAGAGGTCAATCTACGGATTCAACTTGGCTGCGCAGCGTTCGGGAAATTAAGACACATTTTCTCGTCAGGTATTCTTCAAAATCTGAAAACTAGATTGTACAACCAGTGCGTGTTGCCAGTGATGAGTTATGGATCTGAGACGTGGTCCTTCACTGCTGGCCGTTTGAGAAGTTCGGACAACTCGGATTTATTTTGTACAAAATGACAATTCCATATAAAATTATCGAAAAGTTGGATGTCATCAATGGTGTCAAAAGAACTAGCTCTTTTCTCGTCTAAAAGCCAAGTGTAGGCTATTCAGGGAGGAAACGCTAATAATGTTCTTGGCACTATTCTACGAAGAATAGAACTACAGTGGGTTGCCAAATTAATAGGGACAGTTGAAAAAAAAATGCATTTGTCAAGTATTTGCCTTAAATTAATGAATAAAACAAAGGCTTTTAATGTAACTACGTTATTAATAATTAGAACAATATCCTATAATGTCATAAAAGAAATATTATAAAGGCATTAAAAATAATTAAAATTAAATTAAATAAGTAAAAGATGTTGTCGAATTTTACTGGTTAGTATTTTGTAACATTTCCCTTGGCTGCAATAAGTACTTCTATGTGTCTGGGCATACTTTCTATGCATTTTTAGCACTTTCTTTTATTTTAGGATTGTGATGCCAAACCTCTATTAGTTTTTCAATCAGTCTTACCTTGGTGGTTATCATTTCTTTGGCAATTTCTGCTTTAGTGACCTCCCAAAGATTTTCTATGGGATTCATATCAGGAGAATTGCCAGGGCAAGGTAAGACTGGAATGATATTCCCTTCTAGACACTTGGTGACACTTCTTGCTTTGTGGCAGGGTGCTGAATCATGTATAAAGGTGAAGTTCTCACCACCAGGGAACCACCCCCTGAGTGTTGGCAACAATCGATTTTGTAACGCTTCTTTATATTGGTGTTGTCTCATGGTCCCCTGGACAATGTAGAGCCGTCCAATACCCTTGGCACTTATAACTGACCACACAATTATTTTGACAGGGTGTTTCACCCTCTCCACGATACAGTCGGGGTGATATTTTTCACCTGGGCGCCGTCTGACGAAGCTACTTTTGTCGGCCAAAATTTCAAAAGTTGATTCATCGGAGAAACACACCTGAAAAAAAAATAGTAATGTTGAATAATGTTATCGAACAACAGGAATAAGGTAAACTGACCTTATTCCAGTCCTCAATTGTCATTTGTTGATGTTCTCGAGCCCAAACCAGTCGCTTTTTATTTCATTGCTTCAGTCAAGCGAGGTTTTTTTACAGGACGATGGCCTGTTAATCCTTCTTCTGCCTACCTGCGCTGCACAGTTCTCTTAGAAACTGATATTCCAGATTCTTGGACTAACTGAGTTAACAGGCTAGCACTTTCTTTTCGATTTTGTGGACAGATATCCCTAATTTTTCTATCTGAACGTGGTGTTGTGACGCGCTTTCTCCCACTGTTGCCTTTTCTCTTAGGCAACAGGGGCCGTTTTTTGTCCAAATTAATTTTAGTTCTATTAACTACTGACTTGGAAACACCAGCAATATCTACTATCTTCCATTGGGAGTGAGTAGTGTGCTCGAGAAGGGTTTTAATTTCAGATTTTTTCCTAGGAGACAAATCACACCCTTTACCCATGCTGGAAGACGAAATAAATAAAAATTATCAAAATTATTCAACAAAACTATTTATATAATAATGAATAAATACATTTTGATACAATTTAAAAGCACAAATATAAAACTTACTTTGTTTGAAATCTTCAAATCCGTCTTTCACTCTATCGTGTCCTAAGCATAATGCGGCGCACGCTATTCAAAAAATTTTATAATATAAAAACAAACCCCATAAATCTCAAAATCTACATATTATGTTAGCGAAAGAAGTAGTTCAAACGATATAATAAATTTCATCTCAACTCTAACCACTTGAACTGTACTCAAGTGCATCCAAAGTTAGAAAACAAGAAAAACATTGACTGTCCCTAATAATTTGGCAACCCACTGTATAATAAATATAATATTTTTTATTTTAAAAGTAAATGAAAAAAAATACGTTTATTAATTTTAATCTTGTATAAATTGTCTTAAAAAAAATTAAAAGTTACTAACTTGCCAGGCAGACGTTGTTCTACCCTTGTCGACGACCCTTTGTCATGTCCCATTAACAATCTTTAAATTCGCAAAAAAAAATTCTGGGTCACTCATAGGCAAGAAACTATCCTATCTCTTAAGTTGGACCACACTACACACGGTGTGCAAATTTGATTACAATCGGTTAAGTAGTTTAGGAGTCCATCGCAGACAAACAACGTAACACATAAGTTATATATATTAAGATTATATTTATCAAAATTTTAACAAATTTCGTAAGCTATGTAGAGCTGATGTAGAGTCAGTAAAGATGCCGATGGCATTCGTTACTCTTTGTGACGCGTGCCGCCGACCTTGCCTCCCGGATTCTTGGGTATTTTGGTTTCTATTTCTAAGGCTTTAACTTCATTCAAAATATTGCCTTACCATTTTCTGTCGGAAAATCATATTTAAGCAATATGATTGTAATTAACACATCTACTTATTATTCATAAAAATTGTTTGCTATATATTTAAGTCTGTCTATAATGTTCTATATCGTAATGATAAGTTCTTCACTGAACTCGTGGCGGTGTAAGAATATTCACTACACCATATGTTACATGGTTATTGTAAGAACACCTGAGAGTAACAAAGGGTCCACCTTTGTTTCTCTCAGCAGCGTTTTTCTGATACTCGTCGCAATTAGAAAATAAAAAAACTGCCGTTACCAATTCGTCTGCTAAGCGTGGCAACTGTGGTAAATATTCCCATATGAGGCGTCTTTGCATTTAGCGGTGGACTTTGATAGGTTGTTACTCAATTTAAAAAAAAGCATCACTAATTATAACTGCTACCTACCTTAACATAAGAAGTTTAGCTCATGTTTAAATCTAACCAAACAGTAAATAGAATGCTGGTTATTTTATAATAATTACATACGAAAAAAATATTAGGAAGTGTTTAAAAAGTGATTTTTTATTTGTTGTAATCATGAAAGTTTTATACGTCCATGGTAATAAATGCCGCAAACTTCTTAATTAACTTTTTAAGGTGCGTGTTTGAGCAAAATGCCTCGTTAGTCGTTATTTGTGACGTTTTTAGGAGCTATCTACTTTTTATTAAAAAGATATATCAACTAATAAAAAATCTATTAAATTTCTACATAATCTTAATTCCATAATAACCAATTCCAATTTTTTTAAAAGGAGTAAATACTCGATGAATCTTCCTACAACTACCTTTTTTTTAACCACAGTTTTTTAAATGCGAAATTGTTGATGACATGCATCTCCTCATAAAGTAAGCATTATTTTATTTTGCGATTGACTAATGGATAGGCATTTTATTAATGAACATTTTAATTAATTTAATTTTTTCAAGGCACTAAAATTCGATTTTATAAAGAAAATATTTTAACATTTGGGCGTATTTCTTAGGCGATATATTGCAGTGAGAGAGCGTGGAATGTATATAGGGTTTGGGTTCCGGGACGTCTCGTGTCTCGAAGTCCCGGGACTTTTCGTAATTTTTGTTGTCTCGAGTCCCGGGACTTTCGGGTCGAGACTCGAGATGGGTTTTTCCCAATCCTTCCCCGTTTGTTGTTTTTTTTTTGGGTGTGTTTACGGGGGGTTTTGGTTTGGGGCTGGTTTTGTGTTGAAAACGAAGAGAATAATGATTTGGTTAAGCGGTTCTTCTAAACTTTGAAAGTTTATCTACAAGGGAGAAGACCACAACGAGTTGAATGCTTGTTAAAATATTTGCACACTGGCCTTCTCACAGTCTCAAAACACGGAATTTTTATCTCGAATTTAGTAAACTCCACTAATTGCAAAAAAAAAGAAAAAAAGAAATGGGGGTATTTTAAAATATCCCTAGTATCCGGAAACCAGATGTGGAAATAATGACGCTGAACCTGGTACTGAGCCTGATGAGCGTTTTATAAATCAAATGGAACAAGCAATAAAAATATCCAAGGAAATGTACCCGAGATTCTGGAAAAAAGAGCCAAATTTAAAAAAAAGGAGTTTCAGTTTTTTGAAGCAATCGTAGAAAGTTTGGAAGTACTGTATAAAGTCTTAAACAGAATTAAACCGACTTCTGAACAAAACGAAAATGTGTTCTCCTTGTACAGTGACATTATTACAAAAATCGGAAACAGATTGTCGGACAAAGCTGTTGACACTGATTTTTTTAAAAGCCTATTTTATTAAATAAGCAAAGAAGTCTAATTAATGTGTTAGCTGATTATTTAAAAGACTGATTTATAACTGTGGTTTATTATTTATGTTTAGATTATTTAATTGTGAAACGAATCCGTGATTATGAGAATTAACAATGTTGTGATTATGACTAATATTAGATACTAGAATTACTAAATGAAAAAATTAAATTAATAATGTTCATTAATAAAATGCCTATCCATTAGTCAATCGCAAAATAAAATAATGCTTACTTTATGAGGTAGGTAGTTGTAGGAAGATTTATCGAGTATTTACTCCTTTTAAAAAAATTGGAATGGGCTATTATGGAATTAAGATTATGTAGAAATTTAATAGATTTTTTATTAGTTGATATATCTTTTTAATAAAAAGTAGATAGCTCCTAAAAACGTCACAAATAACGACTAACGCGGCATTTTGCTCAAACACGCACCTTAAAAAGTTAATTATGCAGTTTGCGGCATTTATTACCATGGACGTATAAAACTTTCATGATTACAAAAAATAACAAAAATCACTTTTAAAACGCTTCTAAATATTTTTTTCGTATGTAATTATTATAAAATAACCAGCATTCTATTTACTGTTTGTTTAGATTTAAACATGAGCTAAACTTCTTATGTTAAGGTATGTAGCAGTTATAATTAGTGATGTTTTTTTGTAAATTAGTAACAACCTATCAAAATCCACCGCTAAATACAAGCCTCTCCTCAGACTGCCTCATATGGGAATATTTGCCATAGTTGCCACGCTTAGCAGGCGAATTGGTAACAGCAGATTTTTTTATTTTCTAATTGCGACGAGTATCAGAAAAACGCTGCTGTCATCCTTTGTTTCTCTCAGTCGCGCCTGACAATAACCACGTGACGACATGGTGTAGTGGATATTCTTTCACCGCCACGAGTTCAGTACGATTTTCAAATGAGAGACTTCGAATATTATATTAACACAACCCCTGAAGAACTTATCATTACGATATAGAACATTATAGACAGATTTAAATGTTGCTTTAATCAATTTTTATGAATAATAAGTAGATGTGTTAATTACAATCATATTGCTTAAATATGATTTTCCGACAGAAAATGCTAAGGCAATATTTTGAATGAAGTTAAAGCCTTAGAAATAGAAACCAAAATACCCAAGAATCCGGGAGGCAAGGTCGGCGGCACGCGTCACAAAGAGTAACGAATGCCATCGGCATCTTTACTGACTCTACATCAGCTCTACATAGCTTACGAAATTTGTTAAAATTTTGATAAATATAATCTTAATATATATAACTTATGTGTTACGTTGTTTGTCCGCGATGGACTCCTAAACTACTTAACCGATTTTAATCAAATTTGCACACCGTGTACAGTTTGGTCCAACTTAAGAGATAGGATAGTTTTTTGCCCATGAGTGACCCAGAATTTTTTTTGCGAATTTAAAGATTGTTAATGGGACATGACAAAGGGTCGTCGAAAAGGACAGAACAACGTCTGCCTAGCAAGCTAGTAACTTTTAATTTTTTTAAGACAATTTATACAAGATTAAAATTAATAAACGTATTTTTTTATTTTTAGATCATATTTACTATTAAAATAAAAAAAATATTATATTTATTATAGTTCTATTCTTCGTATAATAGTGCCAAGAACGTCATTAGCATTTCCTCCCTGAATAGCCTATACTTGGCTTTTAGACGAGAAAAGAGCTAGTTCTTTTGACACCACTGATAACATCCAACTTTTCGATAATTTTATATGGAATTGTCATTTTGTACAAAATAAATCAGAGTTGTGCGAACTTCTCAAACGGCCAGCAGTGAAGGACCACGTCTCAGATCCATAACTCATCATTGGCAACACGCACTGGTTGTACAATCTAGTTTTCAGATTTTGAAGAATACCTGACGAGAAAATGTGTCGTAATTTCCCGAACGCTGCGCAGCCAAGTTGAATCAGTAGATTTACCTCTCGGTTGAAGTTGGACAGACTATTTGTCCCAGGTAAACGTACTAGTCAACAACTTCGAGCTTAGTGCTCCCAACAAATACCGGCATAGGTGTGACATGGACATTAAACATTATCTTTGTTTTGTCCATGTTCATCTTAAGAACTATCCGTTGGGAGACACTATTGAGCATATTGTTTAGATCCTCCAGCAATTCTGCCATATGGACTATATCGTCGGTAAATCGAAGGTGAGCGATATAATCGCCATTGATGTTAATACCGTCCTTTCCAGTCCAGCAGCTTGATGCAGAAGAGAAGATTCGCATCGCGGCAGACATTTCCTTGCTGTAAAACCCTCTCAAAAATGAGGGAAGGCCTGTGCCCAGCGGTGGGCCGTATAATAG